ACATAACAACAACACAACAACATATGCTAATATTTATTGAATGCCTAGGGGACAACTGTGATAAATTTATATTTAGTAAGCCAAATGGATTGAAAAATGTTTTAATACATTTTCTTATTTACAATAGATATGGATCTACAGAAAATTTGCCAGTATCAAATAGTGAAAAGAAATAAAAGTCAATGACATAAAGTTGGAACTCACTCAGAGCTAACTATCCAGCCTGTTTTCAGAAGCAGTAAATCGCATGGGGTAGAACAGGGTTCAGTTTTGTTCATAGGGTTGCTATGAATCGTATACTCAACACAAAGGCATCTAACAACAACAAATCACATGGGAGCAAACTACCCCTCCTTTCCCTGTGGAGCAGCTGGGGGAGTCAAACTGCTTACTTTTGTGTTGGCAATGCAATTCCTTACCTTGGCTTCCCTGGGAGCTCTCGTGGCCTGGTGGCAAGAAACTGTGCTGCAATCCCAAAGGCATGGGATTTCAAGCCACCAGCTGCTCCACAGGAGAAGGATGGACAATCTTTTCCCATGTGATTTACTGCCTCTGAAAACCTGTCAGAGGGTCAGCTATGGGTCAGTTCTGACTCTACAGTACACAACAATAACAACAACAACAACAGAGCTTCCTTATTGCAGAGAGACTCTACATGCCCTGACCAAGTTTACTCTATTGTTAACCTCTTACATTATCATGATATGTTTGTTACTAGTAACAAGGCTGATTAACCATTAATAAGTAAAGCCCATGTTTGTTGCTGTTATGTGTTTTTGCGTGAGTAGGATCCATCGTGACCCTGTGAACAGATCTGAACCCTGTCTGTCCTATCCTGTGCCATCCTCATTATGTCTGAAATAGCCAAACCTATCGGCGTTAGTCACCGTGCCAATCAATCTAATTGAGTCTTCCTGTCTTTTGCCAACCCTCCACCTTTCCAAGCATGATAGCTCTTTATAAGGAATAGACTCTCCTAGCAATACTCCCAAAGTATGTGAGACAAAGCTTTTATTAGCTTTTCCTTCAACGATCACTCAGCTGCACTTTCTCCAAGTGATACTTGTTTGTTCTTTTGGCAGCCCATGGATTATTCAGTATTCTTTTCCAATAAAATAACTCAAAGGCATCAATTCTTTTTCTGTCATTTTATTAAGCTCATAAATATCCAACCTTTATAATTTTTTTATCATCTTGTTGTTGGTTGCCATCGAGTAGAGCATGACTCATAGCGACCCTATAAACAAAAGGCTTGAAGCCTTTCTAGAACTATATTAATATTAATCAAAATTCAGAAGAGTTTCCAAAGGTATGTATGATATTTAGGACGTGAATGCCATGCCTGCTTCTTCTTGTTGTTTGCTGCCATTAATTACAACTCACAGCAACTCTATGAACAAAAGATCTGATCCCTTTACTATCCTGCACCACCCTCACACTTCCTGACACACAGTAGCCCATTACAGCAGTCACCATGTCAGTCCACCTGGTTGAAGGTCTTTCTTTCCTTCACAGACCCTCCACCCTTCTCAGTGTCATTCCTTCTCCAAGGAATAGCCCCTCCTAGTAACATGCCCAAAGTATGTGAGGTATGTGAGTTTCATCATTCTTGTCTCCAAAGAGCACTCCAGCTGTACCGTCTTCAAAACGTATCTATTTGTTCTCTGGGCCGTCCATGGGATGTTCAGTGCTCTTCTCCAACACCACAGCTCAAAGGCATCAATTCTTTTTCTGTCATCTTTATTAATCTTAGTATCTATTTTTGTTCCAGAATCTCATTCAATTACTTATTTTCATATAGACATTGTATTGCTTTAGCATCCTATAGATCAGGTCATTTTCTTTGATTTCCCTGTTTTGGTGGACAATTTTGATGCATTTAGATAAAGGAATATTTTTTATTATTAAT